CACTTGAATTCCATTGGATCAAGCCTATGGAAAGAAGAAACAGAGTGCCTTTCATGGCTTGACCCGAAGCAACCCAACTCTGTCGTTTACATCAACTTTGGCAGCATTACTGTTATGACAGCCCAACAGTTGATTGAATTCGCTTGGGGACTCGCTAATAGCAGCCACACATTCTTATGGATCATTAGGCCTGATCGGATTGTTGGTGAGTTGGCAATTCTTCTACCAGATTTTGTGAGTGAAACTAAAGAAAGGAGTCTATTAAGTTGTTGCCCTCAAGAACAAGTCCTCAATCATCCATCAGTTGGAGGTTTCTTGACACACTGTGGGTGGAATTCGACTCCTGAGAGTATTTGCAGTGGGATCCCTATGTTGTGTTGGCCATTCTTCGCGGATCAACAGACAAATTGTTGGTCATGTTGCAGCCAATGGGGTGCTAGGATGGAGATAAACAGCGATGTTAAGAGAGAGGAAGTTGAGAGAATGGTGAGAGAGTTGATGGCTGGAGAGAGGGGGAAAGAGATGAAAAGAAAGGTCATGGAGTGGAAGAAGTTGGGTGAAGAGGCCACGACTTGTTCTATTGGGTCATCTTACTTGAATTTTGAGAAGATGGTCAGGTTTGTGCTTATGTCTGCTGGTTCAAATCAAAGTAGCACATTTTCATCTTACAAGCAATTTCTGAAATAAGTTGTTTCTTTTTTCTTTCTTTTTTTAATTGTTTGGAATAATCTTGTACAAGTATTGTCTTGACAGGGGTTAGGGATGGATTTGTATTTTGATTTCCATTGTGTCTCAGAATTGTATTATTATGCTTTTTTAATAAAGAACATGTTCTTCTTGTAGTTTTTTTTTCTTAATTTTTTTTTTCTATTTTTGTCATTAAATAATGCCATATACATAATTTTAGGTTATTCTTTAATCCAAATAAGCTTTCCTCCAATCAAGATTGCCGAACCCTCTTCCTGCCACCAAAAATGGAACTTGTGTTCTGTAATTTTATTTATTTTTTTTATATCTGACAACACAAAATATCATAATTTTATTATCATTTGTCATATAATTTGATTAAGAGTCGTTCTAACAAATGCTCCTATGATAAAGGAAAATATAAAAAATAAAAAAAAATAAAAAGTAGATTTGTAGATAAATAGCAATAATTTAGCTTTTTTTTTTTTTTTTTTTAGAGTGAAAGTTATAGCACATATGGACAAGACAGTTGGCCAAGTGGTCAATGTAGATATCCATTGGGACATTAAGAATGTGAGAATTTCAGTATTCGAGTGACTATGACTCTTTCATTGACTGCTTGAATATAAAAAATAAATAAAAAATGATTGCCATGAGGGAGATTTATTTAACCAGTAAGTGATTGTTTGGGGTTTGTTTATTTATTTATTTTTATTCTTTGATTTATTTTTGGCTTCAACAAAAAAAACTAAATTTAAAAAAACAATTAGAATGAGAAAAATTTTAAAAAAAATAAAATTTTCCAAAAAAAAAAAGTTTAAAATGGACAAAAATAAGTATAAAAAAAAAAGTAGGCTTTTTTTACTTGATTTGACTTTTTCAATTATTATTTTTTTTTTTGTAAAATTTTTCAAAATTACATTTTAGATTCGTCTTCAAGATAAAATATATATATATATATATATATAAATTTTGATATAATTTTTTTTTAAAAAAATCACTCCAGTAAAAAAAATTTAAAAGAAGTGACATTTTTCTTTATTTCCAAACTGACTCTAAAATGCTCGGACAAATTTTGTATTTTCGACCCATCGGGGGTGGTGGTGGAGTGGAAATGCGTTGGCTTTTTACATAGGTGGACATGACTCGATTTTTGAGGACACGACTAGCCAGGTATGAATTTGGTGAATGCTAACAGTATTATACTTTGCTCGTAACTTTGCCTCTTGTGATGGGGGTTGTTTCATTCTCCGCTTTCTCCGATGGTGGGTCGCTTTTTTTGAGTTGAGTTAAATCTAACTGTCAACCGATTATTTCAGAACCAAAACTCACAAATATTATGATATCTCTCCGAAACAACCTTTTTTTAAAAAAATTATCCTTTTTAATCTTATTTGGATTTTCATCTGACAATTTCTCAATAATTAAGACATATAATACTATTAAAATATTATACATTATAAAAAAAAATTGTCGTTATTTTATATTGTTTTTTTACGTGTAAGTATTAAATATTAAAATGAATAATATTTTATCATCTACACAAATGATGTAAAAAACTTTGCAAAAAAAAAAATTAGGAAAAATTAAATGTTAGTGATTTTTTAAAATTTAATTATAAATTTACAAAAAAAAATATATTTTTATTTTTTAACATTTATAAAAGTTATCATTAATATGAAAATATTTTTTTTACATATTCACTGAAAATGAAATTACCCAAAAATTTATACAACATGGTGTCCAGGGATGGAACTAGGGAAAAAATATGGAGGGAGGCCATGGCCCCCTTCCGTCTGTGAAGGACACTGTTTCCTTCAACAAAAATTATATATCTCTTTCTTTTTCGACCTTGCATTCTCTTTTTATTTTACAAACAAAAAAAAAAACTTCGTCATCCAATATCAAATTAATTCCATAGTATTCGATTTATTTATTTATTTATGTTAGACTTATTTATTTTGATAATTTATTTAATTATGTTTAATTTATTTGAAAGAGAAAAATATAATCAAAATTTATTTTGTCACATTATTTCTCACCTAAACCTTTATCCTAAATGTTATTAGAATGTATTTAATATTTGATTAAATCAGGAGTTCAAATAGCCCAAAACAAATGTTCAAACAGCCTAACACAGCAGCAGTCCAAAAGGTTCAAGTGGAAGATATTCAAATTAGTAATGATGGAAGTACAACAGCTATAAAGGTTCAAAAGGCCAAAAGGTTTAAAAGGTTCAAGTGAAAAATATTCAAATCAGTAATGATGGAGTGGAAGATATTCAAATTGGTAATGATGGAAGTACAATAGCTATAAACGGCTATAATTCAAATGACTACAACGGTTATAAATTCAAATGAATACAACGGCTATAAACGGCTATAATTTTCATTATATATACCAAAGCCTCTAATGTAAACAAGTGACAAAAAGACCTGAAAATATTCTTTGATCTATAATCACCCACATCTATTCTCAGAAACTATATACTGAGCCTTATAGCTTTAAGCTCATCTTTCATGTACGAGCAAGAAATATTCAGCAAAATAGACAAATAGACAAAAGCTCTGTGTATTCGGAAATCAAAGTTGTGTTACCTCTCCATAGGTGATGTTGTGAGCTTTTATAGGTTCCGTGTGGCAGAATCCTAGTAGGACTCTTATATCTCCATGTAGAGTCCTCTTAGAAATTACTCTCCTAAAAGATAATGCTTATCCTTCAACACCCCCCTCACTGCTTAAACCAAGTGAGATGGTCCTAGCTCAGTGGTATGTCCAAACGACCGAGCTAGCATTGCCATGGCACAATGACAATGTAACCAAGCTAACAATACTCATGTTACATTTATCCCGGCGCTTTATGTGTAACACGTACCTCGGCTTCGCCTGTAGACCGTGCTAACCATAGCGTACTTGGACCGAGCTACTCAACAGCAAGGTCCTGAGTAGAAGCCAAAAAATACCTCGGCTCAAGATGGTTTAACCGAGCTAACTGTCACTGCGCCAACCGTGGTGATCGAGCTAACCACCAAGCTCTTTCGGACCGGGCTACCTGCAAGGCTCCTCTGGACCGGACTAATTACACAGCCCCTTTTACTCAGCCCTTTTTACTGTGGCACACAGAATGGCCCATTACCCAGCTAGGCCCAATTTACATATAAATTACCCTCTAAATTGCCCTTTAACTCCATCTGCGCAGCATGATAGGGGTTATCTTTTACCATCCGAGCTAAAAAATTCAACTTTTTAACCGAGCTAAATCCACACTGAGCTTCCCATCTATCCGGTCAAAACGTCTCTTCAGTCGCTGTAACTAAATCGCTTCTTATTCCAAGAACACGTGGCACACTATCATTGGCCCAATGCAGCTGTCACGCCGTCTTCGTATTTCGCGTATTTTGAATAGTCCTGCCCAATTTCTCATTCTTTACACAAAAATTACTCATTTTGAATCTACCACGCCTACTATTCATCATTTTCTCTCTCTTTGAGCTTCTTCTCCCTTGTTCTCTTGCAACTGTGGAGCTCGTGTTCTTGCTGGGATCTTTTTCACCTTTGGTCCCTCCATTTTGAACTGGTATGTGACTCAAATCTCTTTCCTTTCCATTGATTTCGCACTTGTTTTGTAATGCATAGCATGCGTTTTTGTATGATTTCCAAAAACACCTATTCCACTTTTGCTTCCATTTGTTGAAAAAACCTTTGTAAAATAACCACTATCTATATATGAATAACCTGGGAAATGATAGTTTTGATCCAAAATCACACTTCAACCGAACTAGGATACTGTTTATCAACTTGATCCCATTGACTGCGGAGCAAGAGATGACCAAGAAAAGAGCAGTAAGGGCCCTTATAACCGAAACAAACCACGCCGAGGTACCACCAGCTAGCCAACCTCAAGAGACCGTGGTAGCCCTGCCAACCCATTAGCCTTCAACATCTTGGCCAAGCAAGCGTGCTCGGATTTCCACAACCGAGCCACACCTTGTTGATGAAGAAGACACCATTCTCCCACAATCCACTCCACTAAGCCCACAACTGGAGCGCTCAGACTGAGCTAGCTCCTCCAAGTGAGTGCCAAAGGTCACCTTCAGGAACAGCGCTATCACTGACTCCGATTCAGTGGTTGCGGAAAAAGATCATTTGTTGGCCTTCAATCTGGCCAAGAGCGTCTGCCTTCCAGCCGATATGGATCACCACGATCACCTTACCAAGCTGAAGGCCATTCGCGCGGCTTCCAAGTCAATGGTGTTGGTAAGTTCTATTTTTCTTTCTCCAAATTTCAGCATCTTTTAGCTCGGTTCCTTCTCAATGCTGTCTCCCTCCCCTCGTAGGCCTTACAGAAGAACCACATTGCCCACAAACGCGTGTTGGAGCTTCGAAAGACCACAAGGGAGGCCATGGCAGAGGCCAATGCTAAAACGGCTGAGCTAAAAGAATCCCAGCAGAAGATGGCTGAGCTACAGGCCGAAGTAGCTCGGCTTACCGGCCTGGTCAATGCAGCCGAAGTCGATAAGAAGAAGGCTACGGCCATGGTGAAAGACAAATATCTGCACGAGCTGGCCAAGCTTGAAGGCAAGAAGAATGCAGAGATAGCCGAGCTAGAGAAGAAGGTTGAGGACACGGAAGACCGCGGTTACGAGGAGGGGGAGGCCACTTATATCCAGCAATGTGAAGCTGCAAAAGATTTTTTCTTCAAGTGTGGATGGACAGCGGTTGTGGCGCAGCTCGGTCATAGCCCAGAGACCGAGGTCTTTAACCCTCCTCCATATTTCATTCCAAGCTCTATGACGGAGTACGCTGCCGCTATTCAGCAAAAATTTCTGGAAGAGGAGGACGAAGATGCTGTTCCTGAAGACAACACCCAGCCCGATCGCCAGTCTTCCTCCCCAACTTCCGTGGTCTTTATCCCGCCTTTGCCTGTTGCGTCTGATGCAGTGCCTTCAACCGAACTTGACCTAGAAGTGCTTGCCACAACCGAGCTACCTCTGGGTGAAGACCGAGTTGTTGTGGATACTGATTTGGATGACCTCTTCTCCTGATTTGTCTTTTTTGTCTAGTAAAAGAATTTGTAACCCGGCTATGGCCCCATCTTTTGTACTTTGACCTTGCATTATCAATGAAATCATCTTTTGTTTTTCCTCAACTGTCTG